GCCCGGACAGGCTCTCGTTTCTTCTCCTGCCTGAGGGAACCCGAGCCAGCGATGGGGCTTGGCCCTGACCATTCAAATAATCACCCCCTCCATATCCCACACGGACACCTGAACACCCCTCACCTCCCTCCTCGGACCCGCTCCGTACCTGCTGGGAGTAGGTCAGAGTGGCCCAGAGCTGACACAACAACTCCTGCACGCTGTTGCACGTGGTCCCTCAGGACATCCACGGTGACACCACGCTGCCCGGAGCGGCACTGCAGTAGCCGCGCTTCAGGACTCCTTCGCTGTGGATGCTGCAGGGCCCAAGAGGGCTGTTAAGGTCTCAGCGGGGGCATGAAACCCACCGGTACTTGATGCCCTGTTTTACAAGGGCTGCAATTAAAACTGCACTGAAATAAGGCAGGCTAGAAGACGCATCACAGCGTCTGTGAAAGCTGTTCTCAACTTCAGTTAGGAGACGCACAAAAACACGCACGTGCGCACAGTCCCGCTCGTCAGAGGGAACAGCAAATGCTGCAGAGAGTGTCAGAAGCGCCGTCACCGAGACGTCTCATTTCAGTGTGAGCCCAGGAGACACCAGGCAGAACACCGACGAACCGAGCTGCTTTTCTTCCCCTTGCACGAAGCCAAACTGTAACTACGGACACCAAGAGGAGCTTCCCCCAGGGCTACTGGGCGCCCTTCTATCTTCTTCTGTCACGTCCAATAAATCCGCTTTTCCGAGCTGTATGTCTCCCCATGAAACGCAAAACCCCAGCAATCGCTGTGACTGCAAAGGCCTTTCTAAAATCACGCCCACAAAAATTTATAATGGGACCTTAGCGCGGGCTGCGCTCGCAGGCGGTTACCGCCCAGGGACAGGCGAGGCCGCCGCAGCGCTGTGCTGGGGCGGCTTGGCTTTGACACCCTGCAGCTGCTCCCACGCACTCCTCCCTTCTTGATCTCCACTAAAAGCCCCCAGCTCTCGCTATGGCGTGCATATGGCTTGACTTTTACCTTGCTCCATTGCAACCGCATAAAAAGAAAAAAAAAAAAAAAGTACAGGCTGACTGTTACGCAGTCATTGACAAAGCCTAAACATCAGCTCAGGAGCTGATAAAACACCCTCTTGAACGACTTCAAACGCACAAGACTTCATGGCACACGTAAAACTCGGTCCTGGCCGAGCTTGTTTAGTTCCAGATGCCATGATCTCTGCCATCCCCACCCCAGCCACAGCTACATACGAGCTTGCAGGCGTCCTCGATTGACCTGCGAAAGCAATCCAAAGGTCTGAATGCTGCAGGCCCGCAGGAGATGGCATCGAGGGGGTTGCATTTCTTTGGGGATCTTTGGCACCAGCAGACCTTGTAGGTGCTGAGGCTGCTCCTTGGAGTTTTTGATGTGACTCGAGTCTCGTTTTTTCATTCCAGCATTGCAACTCACACAACTGTGCCACTTTCAGAACCTCCCAACTGCCGTTTAAGCAGGAAATATTACAGCCAAGACATGTGCTTGGCAGAGGACTTCAAGACACAGCAGAGAGCAGCTACTGGGAGTTTCCTCCAGAGCGAACAGCTCCGCATGCTCTTTGTGACTCGGACACAATTTATCCACAAGCAGCGTAAGAATAACCCTTTTACCAATGTTTTTGGGTAAATGCTGGCCCTGGCGATGCCCCCAAACACAAGAAGGGCAGAAAACAGGGATTACCTTGCAGTACGACAACCAGGTCCATAGTAGCAAAGTAAGCAAGACTGAAGTTGACAGCCAGCCACTCCAGATTTGGTTTTCTAAGACAACCCGGCTCACGTTTGTCCTAGCACCGCCACAGCGTCCGTATAAGCTGCGTTCCCGAAGCAGCCCCCACAGGCTGACAGGGCGCCGAGGAATCCCACCTGGGACATGCCTGAGGAGCTGGCGTCCTCTCCGGACCACGCACACCCCCGAGGTGCGCGGAGCGGCCCGACGGAGGGGACCGACCTGACCGAGGGTAACGCCTGGCTGGCCACCTGCCACAGGAATGCACCATGGCCAGTTTCCTCGCCTTTCAGCTCTGGAGCTGGAGCGACCCAAGGCAGGATCCCCTCGCAAGCCACGAGGGGACAGGGTGTGGATTCCCAGCAGCACCGGCAGCGTTTCCGACCCTTGTGTCTTCTCAAGCCACCGTCCCAGGCAAGAAGCTTCTATAGCCACGGCAAACCAGAGCTCACTGACTCAAGTCAAACGCTTCAACCCAAGTACGTGACGCTGCGCTACTACGGCTTCCCGCTGCCACCTGACAAGCCAGCAACCGTCTTCTGAAAAAAGCACTTTCTGTACGACAAGGGATGAAACCGTGCTCCACAGCGACCTGCACTCAAGAGAATTAGGGACATGGATAAATGCTGCAGACATCAGTAGTTTATTGGTATGTTTAGTCAAAACACATTCAGAATGGAAACTTAAAAGTAAAAATACTTTCCACCTGCAACAATTAAACTAGAATCTACTAGCATATAATGCTTGACACGTTACAGCAATAAAGATGGTAATCCACTGTCTTGTATACCTACTAAAGCCGAGATGGTCAGCCAAGTTTGTTGAAATAGAACCGTAATGACAAAATACTCCCACCATCCACAAATCAGCAACTAACAGTAATGGTCAGTGAATCCCTTCCTTTGCTCCAAGAGGTACATTTACTATCGATAGGGTCGAGAATACGTAAGAGTCCACAGTACAGCAGGTGAGCTATCACCATGTAAACTTCTCCAGATGACGTTCCCGCGGTTTCTCGTGTCGCTTAAACGAGAAGCAAGCCAGAAAGCTGAATGGCTCAGTAGCTCTTTTTAATACTCTGTTTTTTGTTGCTGCGATTACTCCCAGGGCCATTAGCCATACAAATGAATTAGGTGGCAGCAAAACACCACAGCACTACAAAAGGGAAAAGGGGGAGGGGAAAAAAAAAAAGAAAAAGGCTACACAAAACACACTGGTGGCAAACTGCTAACTGAGGACAGCAATCTGTCCGAAGGCTTCAAACCCAAGTAGTGTTGTTGTGTGGCGAGCAGTTCAAGTACTATAGGTTTCCAGGTAACAGCTGAAAATGCCAGACCTTCCATGAAAAAATGAAATATGAAAATGGAAACTGGTAGAAATGTGCCCTGGAAAAAAAGTGTATGAAAATAGTGCAAGACTTACCATCAAACACAGAAGACCTCGAGCCTGGGAGAAAACGGACAGATGCCATGTCACTTTGCCTAACGCATCAGAAAAATATGTGCAAAATCTTCCAGCTTACTCGAAAACAGCCAATGACTGCATATTCCAGAGCCAGATTGCTACGATGCCCTATCTGCTTTTGCTTCAAATTGCAATTATTTTGTTTGAGGTCTTCCGTGCTTAGAAGCAGCTTTAAGTGGTAACACTTTCGCACAGACGCACGCACAAACGCACCCCCCTCTCGCACTCCTGGCGCCTCAGAGCCGGGTGCTCGGTGCACGCCCCGGCGTCGAGCCGCACCGTGCTGCCTGCTGCGGCCGCAGCTTACGGGGACGTGCTCCAGAACGTCATCCAGAAACAGACCTCTCCACAAGAAAAGCCCACCAGCCAAACTGAAGAAGAGGGTTTCTCCTTTCTATCCTTCAGTCCGAAGCCACAGAAGTGTCAACTTCAGCTGAGAGTTACGTGCAAAACGAGTAAGAGTTTTTTAAAAAGCGCAACTGGAAAATGCAAATACTTAAGAGCTGCTGTTTTGTTCTCTGAAAATTGCAGTATCCTCGTTTGATAAGCTCACCCTCGCAAAGGATGCTCAATGCTACCGATTACGAGCCGGCCAAAAGCGTTCACCGTTCTCGACTGACTTCTGAAATTCACGTGCAAGAGAGATTTCAACTCCGTTTCCTTTAACTTTGACCTTGATTAAAGAGAAGGGACAACCTGCAGACTACTTGTATGCCTTCTTTCTCCCTTCCCCCCCTCTGCAAAAAAAAACAGGCGAACTTGTTAATTGAAGAGCAAGGTGGATGATAATTTTAGCAACGTTTACTGATTGAAAGATACTGCAATTTTTTTTTTCATACAATTTTCAATGATTTCCTTTAAATGCTTTGCAGCCGATTGGCTTTGCAGCACAGTAATTCATACACTATACTGTACAAAATCACCAGCAAGACTGGAATGATGTATTCATAGAAGGCACCATCATGCTTATTACATTACCGGAGAACTCAAATACAGTCAAGACAAATTTCACTGTACAATGCTTATCGAAGGGGGAAGGGGAAGGAGGAGTGTGTTGAGCAGCCATCCCTGTACTGAAGAGGGGCAGACAGAAAAATCTGACGTGAGCTATCAAACTAGTTGCGTGCTCAGGGCTACGACTTTGAAACTCTGGGTTCTATTTACTTTGCCGCTAAATGGATTCCTTCTGGAATAAACTTGTAGTCTTATTAAGGTTTGTGTGTGTACATATGTTGGTCACAGCAAGCAGATCAGATGCCTGCATTGCTTCACAAGCTATTCTGTCTGAGTAAGAGGATGAAGGTTTTTTTTTCCTCCGATGCCTCCTGCAGATGTCAACATCAATGAGTTCAGAGTACCCATTAGTGCATTTTGATGAGTGCGTAAACACGAGTTTGTTTGGAGCCGAGTGTTCTAAGAAGGAAAACGAAAAGGCAAGCTTCTCCAATTGCACAAATTGCACTATCTGTGTTTCCAACAGTAGGCAGAAACGGTATCACTTACACAAAATGTGCAGCAGAGGGTTTTTGACCGAAAGGACCTGAACTCTACTGGGCATGTCCTTTAGTTCACTTTTGTTGCAGATAGTTAACCGGTCTTTTTTTTTCTTTTTTCTTTTTTTTCTTTTTTTTTTTTCTTCCCAGTCCTCAATTCTCCAAGTCTATGTTTATAAATTAACAGTGTGACTCCTGTTGTAAAACTGGGGAAAGAACGTCCACCTCAATTTAAACTGGAAACCAAAGGATGCTTTCACATCAAAGAAATGATCAGAAGGGCTGTGTCACATTCCAAAGCCAAAAAAAATTAACAAGAATGCAAACACGACGGATAATGTACCACTGCCAAGACTGTCTGCCCACAGTGGAGTCTTCAGCGACGCTGTCCAGTGAAACGGCCTTCCATTTGCCCGGTTCCTCGTCCAGAGCCAAGTTTCTGTGCCATGCCGCCTCTCGGAGGGGGTCCTCTTCCGTCACGGTCTCGCATCATGCCACCACCCACTATTCCACGGGGACCCCCGGGGCCTCTATCATTGCGACGAATATCCCTACGATCATCGCCTCCGCCTCGGGTCTCTCTTTCACGAGCGGCTCTTGTTTTTTTCTCTTCTACGTTCAAGCGCACCTCACCCCGGAACATAATAGGCTTATAGGGAAAAGTGTTCAAGGCACACGTTAGTCACCGTTCCACAGAGTCCGTTTATACAAGGCATACGAAAACAGCGCATTCACTGCACGCCTCAGCCTACCTTCACTTACGTGCGAAAGACAAAAATTAACTGGTTCCCTGCAGCACACCACCTTAGCCCTAGAGGTCTACAGTAAATGGAAGAGCATTTTAAAATTCATTTGGCATGCCAGGAATTAAGATGTCTTTCTCAACTAAGGGCAGAGCTGTCTTTAGCCTCCTCACTGCCGGCTTTTAGCCTTTTCACTTCTGAGCTAATGATCCTGAAGAATTGCTCTACCAGGTCTCACTCCCACACGCTAGAAATGAAAACTGCTGCCTTCTCCTCTCCAATTCCTCAAGTCACAACTGCAAATAACCTTGCTCCTTTTTCTCAGCCCCACGATACAGAACTCAGAGATCCACGCGACGCCCTTCGGAAGGTTACGTCCCGACTGTCAGCTTAAAAGGATCTCTGAAAGTAAGCGCTGAGCTCCACGTGGGGTCTATGAGCAGAGGTGAAAAACCTGCATTTGGTACGATGCCGTTTGAGGAACGCTGGCACAGCTTTTGTAAGCTACAGAACGCTGCTGACAGAGCGAGTGTGCCAAAACTACGTTTCTGGCCTTCAAGCAACAGTTGTAAGAGAAACTGGGATGGCCCACGCTACTTAGGGCACTCAGTCCCTCCTTTGAAGGCTACTCAATGCCAATACTTACTTTTGCAACTAAAATTCGCTGGACCGGCTCAGAATCGTCAAATACCACGAAACCAAAATTAGGCAGTTTTCCTCCCACTCCTTTAGTATTTATGCGAAGTTCTACCACGTTTCCAAAGCCTGGGAAAACATAAGGGAAAAGCCACGTTATCAAAAACCACAGTGCCAGCTCTACCACCCCTCCGCTTGTTCCAGACAACACCTGTAGCGTTACATCATGTAAAAGTTCCCCTGCTGGCCCTAAATGAACGTTACGTGACTTTTCAGCACGCTTTTTCTTCTTACTCTCCGCAGCTGGAAGTGCTACTTACTCATGAAGAACTCTTTCAGTTCACTCTCATCGATATCATGCGGCAAGTTCCCCACAAAGAGCTGGTGGCTGTCTGGATAGCGGATTATTCGACGATTATCCGACTCATTCTGTTCCATGTCCCCTCTCCCTATCGTCAGCAGAAAGAAGAAGGCAGAGCCACTGAGGTTAGAAGATGTGTGTAGCTTCGGACAAAGACAGCTACGAACAGCACCAAGCACGTTCACTCAAAAAAATCTGTACCTTCAGCTCTTGAGCTTATGTTTACTATGGGTGACAGAGCGAGGAGGATGACACGCTGGGCAAGTTTGTTTAAGGGGTTCTTGTTATATCTTAAATCATTATACTGACGGGAAGCTCGCTACCTATTAAAATGTACTTTTTAAAAGATTTAGATTTAAGTCACCTCTTCATCAATTCCTCCGCACAGTAACAGTATCCTTACTTTGGCACTCAAATTAAAAACAGTGTCTGCCAGGCACCTCCTCTGGCTTTCATCTTCCACCATTTCGTCCCAAATACAAGGGAGAGTTCCTCATGTTCTCTCCAGCTCAACCAAGTGTTAGTATGCTCAGCAGCACGCAAGAGAAACTCTTCCCCGGTACCTCCCTACTAAAATCATGACCTGCCTTGCAGTATGACAGCAGCGCATGGTTACCCCTCGTGTCCCTGAAGCCACAATGTAGGTGTGTACCCTTTGCTCTCCTCAGCCTCCCTTACAAGCCCGTTTAGAGCAGGCTTGCTAGCACGCTTGAAAGGTTTCCTTCGGCAGATAAAAGAGCTCGCTGACTTCCTTTGAAAATAAGACCGTAGGGATGAAGCTCTACCATTCGGTCAACTGAGATGTCAGCTTTTTCTCCCCAGCCTCTGCTAACCCCCAGTGGAAGATTAGAATTAAAAGACTCGGGCTCTGTTACACGTTTTCCGTATGACTTGCATTACATCCAAAAGTAGTAGAAATGCAGACTTGCAGCTTAACTGAGCCACAAGTTGCAGGTTTTGCTCCGTGCTGCAGTTGACACGTTAAAAAAACAAGAGATGTGAACCTCTAACAGATACCATGGTTCGTTCTTGGTGCCTTAAATTCTTTCAGTTTCAGTGTTGTCCCCGAGTGAAGATATACTTGCACCGATCAAAGTCCAAAGCAGGTTTAAGCCCAAGCCGTACCCCAGTTTGGTACGCGCTTACTGAAAACCTTCATTAGAATCGATTTTAGCTAGAGCCGGTGGAGACGCTTACGGTCGCTGAGACTTAACGACTTCTGCAGGCAGCGCTCTGGCAGCTCCTGCCAGCTTTACGCTGCCGCTTCAGGAGAACTGCAAATACCACTCCTCCTCTTAGAACCTGTCGCTTTTTTTCCCACTTACGGAAGATGATGAACTGATTAACATCCTGGAACTCTGGGCCTTTGACTAGATAGCTTTTGCCCAGCGCTGCGCAGAGGTTTGCCAAGCGACCAGGCCGGCCTGACGAACGCAACTTGGAAGGTTTTCACCTCTCAAGACCACTTCTGACAACTGTCAAGTGACAGGCCCTTTTTCTAGCCGGACCGTCTGACAGATTTGCACCATCTGTACGAGTAAGAAAATGCAGAGAGCTGTCTGCTTGTAAAAAAAAACAAACATGAGGCAGCCAAACTGAGAACGGCATTTTAGGCAATTATACAAGATGAAAAAATACATGTAAAATTGTTAACTGACTGAGGTTGGCCCGGTGGGAAGGTTTTCTTCCAAAACAAAGATCAACAATAGGCATTCAAGAGCTCTCACTTCCAAGGCTGAGCAAAATTAGAGGACATGGAAAAGACTATCACGTTTCCATACCAGCTTTTCAGGACTGCATGAAGCCACGTGAAAAGTACTCGAGCGTATAAGCGAGTGGCCGGATGATTAAAAGACATTTCAACAGAACAGAAGTTTGGAAATAATGCCTGATCTGTGCAACAACTCATCACCATCTTGGACCCCAATTCATATTCCCCCATGTCTAGCTGAAGGCAGCAGGAACTGACAGTTCATTACCAGCCAAATATAATACAGGTGCAGACAAGACCTGCCAAGGAGACATCTCTCGTGGACTAGTCCCAAGCAGACGCACAAGCTGATTCACATTACCTGGTCGAGGTCCTCGGGGTGGAAAACCCGGCCTTTCCCTGGGACGCTGTTCACGTACTCGAGGAGGTTGAGACTGAGCTTCAGGCTTAGTTTCGACTCTTGGCTAAAACAGGAGGAGAATGTGCATTATTAAACACCGGTCCAGCAGAAGAAAGCCAAAACCCCCAAACTCACCAAAACAAAAAAACCCCACAACACAAGGCATAGATAAGTGGCATGCACAAAACAAACTCCAGAAGATATACATCCATGTCAGTGTGTTTGGGCATACTTTTTTTTTCACCTCTATAAACTCCTCTGTACCAATCCAGGACTGCAGTGTTCAGCTACCTCTGCTAAAAGGTGCAAAGCAAACATCTCTCAATCAGAGCGTCTCCTCAAAACACAGCTAAGGTGAGTTTTCCATGTTTGACCAGGCACTGAGACCCCAACGCTCCTTATTCAGGAATTCCTCAACCTGACTAGAAACCCCACATGGGTGAAATAAAGCTTCCTCGTGGCAAGCTCAAACTTCATGGATTAGGAGGTACCCCAGATGCAAACAAAGAGCTTTTTGGGCAAATCACATTTTCTGTTTTAGTGCCTGAGGGATTCTTTTCCTCGAGTGCAGAACAACTGCAAGGAAACTACTGAAAAGAAAGAGAACAAAACAAAAGCCCTCAGAAGTGCAGTAAGTATTTCTGATAGAATAAAGCTACCCAAAATAACAATTTCTACAGACTACCTGCTGAGGATATTCTTCAACTTTCCTGGTGTCAAAGCCATGCTGCTCAAAGCACACCCTCCACATTCGCAGGACCTAGAACAGCTATTCCGTTTTTTGCTAGCAAAAAATGCTTTTAAAGATAATTTGAAAAAAAGAGACAGAACAATAAAAAAAATTTCTGTGCAGCCTGTTGGTTAGTGAAGCGACTTCCAACATTTTTTAAATTCCATTTTCTGTACAACAGACTATCAGCTGCTGCTGTGCTGGGTTCTTATCTTAGAAAAACAAAATTATCCTTAGGAGCATAAAGAAGAACACTAGCCTCCAAGGAAGATTAAACACAAGGACAACTGCTACAGGCCCAGCCTGCTGCGCAGAAGTGGTTTATATTAAACATCTCCCTTATTTTCCCTTAAGGACTCAAGACAACCGATGGTTCCAGCCAGAGAGTACCTCACAGGGGTAAAAAGGCTGTATTTCACATGAAACACGCAGGTGTTACGCACCAAATAGATCCTTCAGCACTCCTACCACTCGTGCTCTAACCAGCTAGGCGTTAGCTTGTCCTTCCAAGGTTTCTAGGATCATTTTTTCAGCTCCAAGAAAAATCAGCCTTCCTGTCAAATCTCTTTTCATTATACCTCCTCATGGGTCACTGGAGCTCCCCTGCCATCTTTGGCTCACGCATCTTTACCGCATTATAAATTATACCTCAGAAGCAAAACTCAGTACATTCAGACCCCCATTTGTCACGGCGCTTAAACACTCAGTCCTGCCGCCAAGCACAGCAAAGGCTTTCTAAGTCTCTGATGTCCTTCTCTTAAAGCCTGGATGACTGTTAACTTTTACCCTCTTGCCTTCCACTTCACTGAACTTCTCATCTATCGCACAAGTACTCTCTGTCCACCCAAACAACAAACAGCTAATCTCGTTAGTTGCTTTCTAATCAGTACCATCCCTTTTGACAGTGGGAGACTGCCTCGGTGCTCTCTGGCGCTGCCTGAAGAGGAAAGCGCTGGCACAAAACTGCGCTCCCCCAAAACACTGCAATTATTAGCAGCATCGCAAGATGCTTAAGGGCTGCCCTTTACAGCCCAAGCAGCAGCTAATCGCAACTCTCATTTCAGAGAGAGCGCACAAGGCGGACCGAAAGGCTCAGAATAAGGATTTCAACAGACAATGACTAAAGGAGCGCTCAGCCCAGGAGCCAAGTATGCCACAAGCCTCAGCCTAACGGGGCTTTGAGAACAATTACAGAAAAGGTGACGTCGTCTCTTCCCTTCAGGAGCTCGCACGGGGAGGGAAAGGGACCTCTTTCTGCTACGGCCACGCTACTGGCAATGACAGCTTAAAGCAGCCACAGTTCAGCCGTGACTCACCAACTTTGGAACTGAATACCCCCTGAAACACAGGATGACGGGACACAAAGAGCAAGAGACAAGGTGGCTCCAAAGGCTAGTACAATTCTCCTTCTGAAAGCTTACAAGGCTTCAAAGTTTTTCTCGAACGAGATGCCTGCCAGTCAAAACACACGCACGCAAAGAACCAACTAGCCAAGTGAACAAACAAGAAACCACACTTCACATGAAACAAAAGGGGGAAAAAAAGCCACATCATCTCCCAAGAATTCCGGTAGCTAGCTTAGATGCGTACCTCAGATAGCTACCGCACTGTCTCCGAGATAAATATGGACCACACAACAAGGCACTCATCAGTCACTTGCACAAAGGTGCTACAGATTATAGAAGAGCCTCTCCAGAGTCTGAACAGATTTAAGGTGGTGAGAGAATGCAGCCTCTTATAACCAGATCTGTCCCTGAACTCTCCACTTCCAAGCCAGAAGGCAAGAGTCAGGGAGCACCCTGCCTGCCTCCTCCCCTCTGGCACCCCTCCGGCAGCTGATGTGTTAATGCAAATGGGAGGTCGGAATATCTGAAAACGCTGTAAAGAGAAGGCCCGATTTATCAGTGTAGGCAGGCCGATTTCTCATCGCTCACAAGAAGAATAAGACCAAGGAATGCTGACCTGTTTAACTCCACAGCTGTAAATAACCAGGAACTCAACTGGTTTATATCCAAAACAGTACTTGTGCAGTCCTTTAAGGGGTTTGAGTTAACACTACAGAGGTTATCTTTCTAACTTGTTAAAAGATGGGGGAAAAACTGGAGCGGTGCAGAGAAATGAATAAGGGCAGTTAAAAGATGCTTTGTAACATCACTGATGCTGGCTAGAACAGCATCCCAACGGAGCCACGCACCCACTAGCGCAATCTACTGTCCTCGTCCACCTGCACAGTATAAGGCATTAACGGATCCAAGAGAACAGGAAAAAGCTGCTACTGATCTGTAGCCCCGTGTAACAGGCTTTCTGTACGCTGTGTCTGAAAAGTCTGCAAGAGAAGGGGCTCAGAACTGACTAATTCTGCTGAGAGTTGAAATTCTTGCCAGTTTGCTATTGTGGAGCAACTTCCACACAGAATTACTTAAACGTGAAGTCACAGTAAAAGTAAACTCAAAGGCAGAAAGCATGACAAGCTGTAGAGGCAACACAAAAGAGTTTAAGGGGACATCTATAAGCTATATTCTGCTCTCTTGTATGGATAATTTTAAATGATTTTTGCAGTTGTATTATAAAAATCCACCCTCACTACTGCAAATAAATTAAAACCAGTTTTGGTTTTGCATGAGGAAAATCTATTCTGTACGAGCAGAAAACACAGTTTTTATGGCTCAAATACCATCTAAATGCTCAAAGCCCTGTTGAAGCTGATGAAGACAGAGAGGTTTTCCAACTCATTACATAGCCATTATCTGATTGCCATGACAGCCCTGTCAGACCAGAAGCAACACCACACAAGGTGTTGTTTTTTTGTTGTTGGTTTTTCTTTTGTTTTGTTTTCTTTTTTAACATGCATTTGGCTAAAGGGCAATCCTAGGCAGGTTCCTCTCTCTCAGTAAAAAACAGAGAAGAAACCAGTGCAAACACAGCAGCTGCCATAACGCGGCTGCTCTGCTGAAAATCGCAGTCTTTTAAAAAGGTTAGACACGAGTGACCACAACATACACTGCGCTGGTACACAGCGTCAGTACGAGAGGTTAAAGCACGCATTTCTGTTTTGAGGTCTTTTATGCAGATGGAGGCAGCTGAATTGAGAGTCTCAGACCGTCTCACACCAGCTTGGCCTGTGCAGGACATCAGCTATCACCCGGTCAAACTTTCTTTCCTCTTTCGTATTTCCCCTCCTCACCCAGTCAACCTAGGAATGGGAAGATAGCATTGTCCTGGCAAGGAAATGTGAATCCTTCCATTCCTCACACAGTCATAAGTTGGTACAGGGTTCTGTGAGAAGTCAATTACAGCATATTTCTGTAGATGTTACCCTTACGAGGCAATCTTGCACCTTATCGGAAACGGTGCTATCCCTTTTTACTGCTGGCGCACTTCTGCCAATGAAATACCCCTTTCAAACACACTTTGGAAAACTACCACTTTGCGGGGAGTTGGGTTTTTGTTTTACTTTTTTTTTTCCCTTGTCAGCCAAACCATATCCCATTAAGATAGGTCAAAAAAATTTCAGTAGTAATTCCCTGTTTCCATATGAACATATTTAACGTCATCGTCACCCAAAGTTACACCTGTTACGTGTACGTGCCTTTGCTTGCGACAAGAAGGTGAGTGCATTAACATGTAAGATACAATTAATTTGTGCAATTTAAGTCAAACAAATTGATCTGTTAATTGAAAAAACTGAAGCAGTTTGCAGAAGTAATGAGACAATCCAAGGTGTTCACAGATGGGTTACCTGTGAGACTGGTGCTTTAACATGGGGTGGAATTCCAGAGGAAGAAACAGTACCACTAGGAGGCAGGTTTTTACTGGTCACTGAAGCCCAAGAGAAAGCCTGCAGGAAATGCAACAAACCTAGGCTACTAATCATGGCAAACCACTGACATTCCTACAGGGAAACTCGTCTGCTGACAATACACTTTCCGTTCATATCTGACTATTAAATAATTGTTGTGCAAGCATTACAACGAAGGTACAGAAGGATTGGCAGTTCTAGCCGTCTGTGGACTCCAACGGCATGGAGCAAGCGTGTACCGTGCCCGCTATCGCTACTTGAGTGAGCCCAGTTCCCTCATCATCCCCAGATCACCGCTTTCCATGACGTAACCAAACCTAGGATTCAAAACCATGTAGCGTTAAGTGTCTTCTGCACAAAGAAAGAAAGCGGATGCCAGAAGTTAGAAGTAAAAATGGAAAAGAGAAAAAGGATTGCAAAAATAAACAAATACGGGAGACATGCCGAGAGCTAGAAAATGAGCTCTCTCCAGCTTTCACCGGTTCGTCCCACCTCTTTCAAACTACGTAAGTGCAACCATACCAGATGACGCACGGTGTGCCCGGTGGTTTTTAAGATTAGGCATCCTGCCTCTAAGGGAGACAGTCAACACCTCCATATTGATTTTGAACCTATACAGCCAGCAATTTTGCAAGCGTCAATTCACTATGGGTTTTTTCTTTGCAAGGAAGAGCAGCGGTTCTCCCATTGTAAGAGATTTTTGTTGGCGGTAGCTTGAGGTGTTTCCTTAACCTATGTTAACTCCACATTTAAAAAGGTTTACATGTGCATAAAACCACACACACACACACTTTACGAGCAGAGCGTTAAAGTTACGATAAGTGACTTGAGCAAAACTTAAAAATAACATTCTATCTTTTTTTAGCAAATCTTTGCATTTTTACAAGGTCAAGGTTCAAGTCTAGCTGTTCATACACCATGACACTGAAAAGAGCTACCGGTTTGGCCGCTCAAAAAGGCTAAGTTCAAAACCAAGTCTTCTGGTTTACCATCTGCACCTAGAAGCACAGATATGACTTTCAACTAACCTTTGGTGGTTCTTGTGGTAGCGAAACAGGTTCTACAGGAGGTGGAGATGGAGACTTCTCTTCTAGCTCCTCAAGGGTCTTTTCTTCTACTTCAGCTTTCAGCTCCTCGGTTTTCGTTTCAGATTCCAATTCCGGCTCAGGTTCGTGAGGCGATTCTTCTAGCGCCTCCTCTATCCCATTGCTACAATAACAAATGCAATTTATGCAGCTTATCGATTGCTTTGTTTCTTATGACTTTTCTATAAGCCACGCTATGGTAACGGCTGGTATTAAAAAGGTCATTTCCGTTTCCGACCGTACGGTACCTACATATACAATACTGTGAGAAGTTAAGCTGTACCCCTGTAGTTGCACACAGAGCCAGATCTTACTCCAGCTGAAGCAAAGACACATTTTACAATTCTCTGCAGAGAATCTGAATATCACACAGACATCTAAACCCTTTAAGGTACAGGTGCTAAACTCAAGAACCACCGCTCCTAAAAGAAAAGCAGCACAGTGAGAGACCAATGGAAGATTAAGCTATACACATAGATGAAGGCAATTGTGTAATGAAACCAGCTGCTTCTTTAAAAAATGCCATACAAGTTCCCTACGTGAGTCTCGTTTACTGAATATCAGACGCAACTTCTTCTCTACTCTATGTATTCGAAATGTAAGGGATTGGAAATTCTTCACTTCCCTCTTAAGGCACCCCGAAAGCTTACCGGATTCCAAATGCTTCTGCCTATGCAGCTCCTGCCACAGGTTAGCACATGCCTAAGGGACTATCGGACGAATGTTGCCTTTACGACTTCTTTCCAATCGGCACAGTAACCCAAAACCAAGACCCGACCTAATGCTTTTAGACATCAAAAACTTCCTGCATTATCATGATCGAGTCACTGCCAAAATTCCAGGAGACTCCCCTCTTCCATAAGATTTCTCACAAAAATCATTACTTGACAGCGTTTGGCATTATCACCGGTGCACTTAAAAGACATCATCTAATGATGTCACAAATGTTGGGCCTTTTTGGTTTTTTAACAAGGAAACTAGGAATTCAGTTCTGGCCCCTTAAAAGACATGCCTATGTTTCAAAAAAAGCACAGGGGTTTGGTGGTGTTTGCTTCTTGGTGTTTGTGGGGTTTTTCTGTTTGTTTCTTTGTTTCAATAACACACGTTTTTCTTGTAAAAATGTAAAGAAACTTTTTGCTTTGATCTTGTTTGGATTTTAAGGCGCTCAGGACAGAGACCTATTCTTCCGACAGAGCTGTACAGCAACTTCTCAAAAAGTAGACCTTCCTCTCAGTTTCATGCACTACCCAAATTTGAGGAGGAACGTATCGTTAATCACCCCTTTGTTAACCCATCTGTTCACAAAAATTACACCATATCAACTCACCGTTACAAGTTTATGTGACAAAGACTCCATTAAGTGTGCACATAAACACGGTTGCTACCTTTTCACATCACGTTTGAAACCAGAAGTGAAAATAACTAACACAAGAACACCCCTCAGGTCCTCGCTGCGTTCAAGAAGCAATGTCTCAAAACAATGTAACCTTAACATGACATAGATTGGTATCAAGTTAAGTGTAGTTTCCCAAACTACCTGTTAAATCACATGCAGAATCCGAAGCCAAAACAATTCTACCGTTTTTATTTTAAAAAAGCAACTTCATATAATAAAATGGACTTCTTACGTTACAGGATGGTTTTCATAGTAAGTACCGCTTGCATTCTCTTGCACAGGTTCAGGTGACGGTTGTCTTTCCTCCTGCTCCTCTTCCACCTCTTCCTCAGACTCTGACACAAAAAGAAAAACCTCCTTAAACAGCTCCGCGAGCGTACGTAAGCCGCGCTTAAAATAAAAGCGTATCTAAACTAGTAGTAATAATAATAAAGCTTTACCAGCAAAATAAGGTAAAATTAGCTGCAAGAAAAGACAGAAGACACTTCTGCTCGCTCAAGAGGCTTTGTTTCTTACTATTTTCACTAAAAGGGGAAACTAGAGACATATTGCTGGCTAGGAAGTTCTGGGAGGAGGGGTCGAGGGCCTTTTGAAACAGCAGATGCTTTTCATATGGTGGCAGTAAAAGGCAAAGATTGCACTATTAGCTCATAAATCTCAGTACCTAAAACTAAGAAGATTAACCTCAAATACAAGGATGATTGCCCAAGATGCTTTTTTCCACAGAGCCGACATGAAAAAATTCCAGAAATTAGCCAGTGAACACATGTACACACATTCTGGTTGTACACCGGTTTGCTTTGCCTCAGTGAGCAGAGGGGAAAAAAAAAACCACTTGGGTCAAGTTCAGCCCCTAAATAGAAATGAATTACTGAAGGTGACGATGATATGAGAGTGAACTACATGTCGTGTTTGAAAAGCCAATTAGATTTTTTCTTCACATCACCTGACCTAACAATTTGACGGATCAGAGAAAGCAAATCTACCTGATGAAACCAGCGGCAGCAAAGTACTGTTGCTCACTATTCCCATTCCCTGCCAAGGCTCACCCACCCTGAGCCCATTCAGCCCTTCAAGGAATGAGGTACTGCTCTGCAACCTTCCTTTTACAGAACGCTCTGGACCAGCAGATAGTTCCAGCGACGTAGCCTACGCTGCCCGCCTCAGCCCTCTCCCAAACTGCTATGCTCCATGAGAATGCAGCACAGTTTGCGTCTTTCCATCTCCTCTAGACGCTTCTGAAAGCTCGGCACGGCATACACGCTAGAGGAACAAGAACAAGACAAACTGGACATGTGCAGTTTTTCTCACCTTCATCGAGTTCTCCTTCCGAATCGCCAAATACTTCATCTTCATATCTGAAGATATCATTATGGACATAGAACTTGTTTGGAACGGAACCCTGTAAAAGAGCAACATGCATTTTTTTGCACATACAGTATATTAGCAGTCAACGACAAGGATGGATTAGAGATACAAACTCTGGGGTACACACCAACGTTTTGCAATATTACGCTAAAGCCATTATCCAAATGATACCTCTTCTCTAAGCAAACAATTGAACGGTAACTTCTGCCCAACTGGAAGTTTCAAGTAGAAAAAAGGAACCAGTTTTGCAATCACAGGTTCTAACTAAACATAAAGTCCCTCAATTTCATCAAGGAACTTAAATTTTCCCTACTACAAAAAATTTACAATAAAAAAAAAGAATGAACTTTCGCGGGGTGACTCCGTGCTTATAGTATATTGCATAGGGAAACAATGAAGAAATTCAACAAGACTCTACAACGTTAATCACCAACCACGTGATAGTTTGTGATGAAATGGGGGGAAAGAAGCAGAAAAAACACAAGACACTCTTTACCCTTACACAGCTTGGCGCTCTCGCTAAGAGCCAAATTTGAGCTTTAACTTGCGCAGCATCAGCCCATACTCATGCTCACCAGCAGACTTGAAGAAAGTACAGAACTACGCTAGAGACTTGATCTGCAGAGCTGAAGATTTTTTTTTTAATTTGTGCTGATGGCAGTTCCCAAATGCAAGCTCCAATTTGCTTTGTATTACTGCTCCAATGCTTCAAGTCTAAGAAAATAAAACAGCTCAGGATGGGCCCAATACACTCGTTTCTCTGCACTCACGTACCGTGACACGTTTAATGATAGCCTCCGGGCCAAGCTCTAAAAGCCATATCGTATTTTTTGCCCCAATATGACAAATTGTAGCTGCATGTCAGGTTTCCATCATCATTACTTGAAGTTAAACACATATACTTACTTCTTACATATACTTACTTCTGGAGCCAGCACAAAAGTCTGCATGAACTTCCTCATCGGCTGCCCGTTGTTTGACAGCTCTCCCATGACTTGCACAACCACCCCATCGCTCAGAGTAGCATGAGCATCCACATGACGAATCTTGGTGTGGCATTCGCTGAACTGTAATGACATCACCTTCTTGTGTATCTCCTAGAAATAAAGGGTTCCTTTTTAGCCACACTGAGTGTTGTACAGAGCTTCACACCTCTTAAATACTGGAGTCTGGACTAACGCAAAAAAAGCACACTGCTGAAACTCAAAAGGTAAATACAGGAACCAAGAAGTGTCTCTCACTGAGAACAGTCTACGTGAGCTCATCTAACTTTTGTTCTGAAGTTTTCCACCAGAATTCAAGTACCTCTCAGAGTAGTCAAATAGCGTACAACTCGCTACCCAATTTTTCCATCTGTATTACAACGTATGACGTATTTTACGGCTTTCATTTTTAGAGGGCTTGTGGGAGGGACAGGATTTGCCTTGTGTTTCAAAAACCCAGACCACCACCCCCCAAATGAAAAAAAAAAAACAAAACCCACAACACTCTACGCATCCACAAAGTACCCAAACGTCACAGGAGGGGGTAGCATCTGCCCTGCCAAGATTTCTGTGCTGCCAAATCAGGTTCTGCCGGTGAAAGGAGAAGAAACCAAGCCTGCTCTGGGCTAAAAGCCACATTGCTTAAATACGTGGCTACCACATGAACAGATGCCCCCAGGTGACGGACATTATTCTGGTAAAGAATTACAACCCAAGCCAGAACTTGTGTTTCCTGGACTTCACTTCTTCCAAAGTTACCTTCCACTTTAAGGAAACTCCACTCGCAAAAGACTTTGGTAACATACAGATTTCCATGTAACTCGAAAGATCAAAACCCCCTTCCCAAGGAACCACTTAACACTGAAATAAGATACAGCAATAGCACAAGTCTAAGGGATCCTCTTGATTTTGTTTCCCGTCCTAAATACGGGATTTATCTGCAGTCCAGACGCAAAGCTGATGAATCAAACATAACCCACAGAAAAAGAAGCAACCATCAAACAGAAAAATTGAAGCCAACAAATTCCTATCTGCCTCTGGACAGGAGGCAGTATCACAATATGTTATTATTCAGACAAGAACGTCAAAGTAACTGATAAAGAAAAAGACTGATTTATACAAGTAAGTTCCGAATGTTAACGAGGACTACAGGACTGATTTTGATACGCACAGCTTGACCGTACACTGCTTCTTGCGGTTTCCCGCTGGCATCCAGTCCTCCATGGACGTAAGAAGAATTCCTGCCGTAAAACCTGCAAGCGAAGAGGTGTAAAGGTCATAGCAGTGAAAAAATAGAACTAAATCCAACAATAATTTTAGCTGAAAATTGTAGAGCTCAGCGCGTCAGGAATTTCAGTGCAAACAGCAATTCAAGATGTATTTTCCACTTTCGAGGCTCCAAGAACACAGGAACAAACAAGCTCAATATTCAGTATTCCATGTTGCCCAAAATATGTAGCAAGCTCCTAAATCAGCCTCAACCTTTCCCTCGATTCCCATAAAGAAGGTGGCTTTCTCGGAAGCAATGGCCAAGGAGCTCATTACGAACCTCCAAAGTATTTGAAAAGACCAGATTCGTCTTCCCATAAGGAAGGTGGCTGTTTTTGCTTCCCCAACGTCACAATCATCGTTCTGTGTTAACGCCGTGCTATGTCAGCCTAGGGAGCTACAAGCCGCCCGCCCCTCTGAACCCTTGTTCTCTTGAAAGCTTCGGGCAGCAGTGAGGGGTTCTGCCTTTGATTCAGACTGTACAGACAACTTGTTTGAATAGCCTACCTGCTTCCTCAGCTATCCCATATATGTATGGGATATACGTATGTACGTGTGTGTGTGTGTGTGTATATATATATATACACACACACACACCCCCTGCTGTACATGGCTGTTGTTTCACACTTCAGCTTTCTCGGAAGCAATGGCCAAGGAGCTCATTACGAACCTCCAAAGTATTTGAAAAGACCAGATTCGTCTTAGACACTAGACACTTGAACACAAAGCCCCCAGAGGAAGTGCTGTCTGAAATCAAGCGTAAAGAACCAGCAAATGAAAGAAGGCCAAACAAACCTGCATCTTACTGCTGCCACACCAAGGGAGAAATTCAGTACTGGATGTAGCTCAAAAGCAGCATTCTCTCTGCGCTTCTTACAGTTAGGCAGCAAACGGTATTTCATTGGCATCAATTACATCATTGTGTACAATAATTGAATCGCCACTGACAGCAGCCTCAACCGTGTAACTTTTGACACAAAACTAATATTCCATATTTACGCTGCCCGATCAGCAGCAGTTGTGGTTTTGGTCTTGTAAATAGCACAAACCTCTCGACCACTCCAAGAAAAACAAACCCTAAGGCCCTTTCTTGATCAGGCTTCTTTCTGGACTGGATTTCAAAAGCTCTTATTTTTTATAGGTAATATGTGTACACTCGCTTCCAATGTTTTTCTTCTATTTCAGAGATCTTTTTGCACTTTCATTCCACCTCCAAATTTTGAGCCTAGAATAGTCTTAAATTTTGTTTTGGATTTTTATTGCCAGCTTGCTTATAAAGCATGTGACAAATACTTAATCTTTTCTGTACATTTAAATTAATAGATCAGACAAAACCACCGTATCACACATTTTTTTATTTAGAAGCATAATTCGCCTTGGCAGCGATGGCCACGAGGTCTGAATGTTAACACTCACCCTGCTTCTAAAAGATACCGTTATTATCCATGCTTGTATCGTATATATGAAATAAAATTTTCGTTAAGTACTTCCATAAAGCCACTGTCACACAGATTAGCAACGATACAGAATATTTCTCTCTAGTTAAACAAGTCAAGGCAGAGGGTCAGCTTTAACATACAGAATTAAGCACTAGAACTTCCGCATTTGCCAGTTCTTGGTTTATCCTACTAAACCGAGAAACCGCTTCCAGTTCTACTTTCCTGAAAATACCAACCCGAGACTTTAACTCCCGTGACTACATCCAGAAAAAAAGCCTGGGAAATATTAGAGGGTTTTCTTTGTTACCAACTGCACAAGCATGTTTTTGAGCATGGTCCAGCACTTCCTAAGAGCAAGGAAAAACAGAAATTCAGCTGAAGCATTGTGCGAGCAGATAGGAAAACATCTCTTCAGTCTCCAAATTCCAGAGTAAGCCCTCTGACAGGCAGCACATCTTACTAAGTGCTTTTGCAGGGGGACCAAGACTTTTAACTTGCTTTTAAGGAGCTGTTCAAACTGTTTGGTAGGCAGAAAACCTAACAAGCGGGAACTGCAGATCAGAAAAGGATTAAACGTTAGTTTCCCAGTTATACAGAAGTAAAGATTTTCCATTAAGGGGCCAGTAAAGCCACATAAATTCACCTGAAGTGCAAGAGGCATGCGCATTGCACTGAGTAACACCCATTTAGAGGGCAAACTGATCTCCCCTTACCCGTAACCCCTGGATAAGTGTTGGATAACGACTAGTAACAGGACACTTGGCGGTCTTCTCAAGCTTCTGGTAGGAGAAAGCAGTAACTTTAACACTTGCTGTCCAAACTCCCTTACTGCTGCAAGGAGCACATCAAGCGTCTGCAAGGAAGCCATGAAAACCAAAATCTTTCAGTGGCAGTGAGCAAGCTGTTGTTCAAACTAACAGCAAGAGAAAGAGGGAAGATGCCCTCTCAGAAGAACATCGCTCGTAAACAAGATGGGGCCAAAGAACAGAAAGGCAAACGTCCTCCATATCTGAGCCTGACTAGAAAAAAGCAGTCACCTCTGCAGCCCTAACAAAGGGACAGCAGTGGCAGAGAGTAAAACTGGCTAGAAGTCATTGCACGCAAGCAGCTCAAGAATCAGCCATGATTCAACCGAGCCAGATCAAAACCTCTAGGACGCTTCTGCGCAGAGGTATTTAAGAGAGATTTCACAGATGTTATTGTTAGTGACACTTGTGCCACCTTTCCAGTGGACAGAGAATACTTGTGAGCACAGAGTATCACCTGCACCGCGGGAGCTTGCCTCGTGAGTGTCTGTCCAGTGCCTCGACCTCAGCGGGGCCACTCCAGGAGACAGTTAACCGACCTGTCATCAACAGCCCCTTCTCTTCATAAAAGAAGAAAATTCTGTAATGTTTTTAGACTAGACCCCTTGATGAAAACACAATTCCTGCAAGAAGGTAGACTCTTTGGACGATTCCCCGTTCCCAATCAATGTACCGTGCATACACCATAATTTGGAAAGATGCATTTCAGAGTTGTCCGAGTAAAGCCTGAGATTTAGAGGGGGGGCAGTTATATCTAGTAGGTCCTGTAAAGCACCTTCAAAGTTGTTTTCAACAGGCAAAATGTCTTCACAGACACCATCTGTCCTCACACGTACAACGCTGCCAATTTCGTATCACCCCAAGCTGGAAAAAGCACTCTACATCCCTATTGCACCAGAAACACCAGCTCCATAAGGCTCCCGTAGCACGTGCTAATATTGCTGCAACGGAAGTAACGTTGCCGTACTAAGGGAAAAGCAGGAGGGAAGGCCAGTCTGCAACAGCTTCTTTGACTGAAGCGGTTAGGGAAGAAAAACATACTGACAGTATGTTGCTTCTTAAATCAACCCCCCGCTCCAAATCCTGCCAATGCTACAGTCATTATCATTACAGGTAAACACTTAAAGTATTTTCAACACCAAGTCTGAGGCTTGGGTGACTTACCCCAATATACAGTTTAACTGACATTGAAAATAAATGTTACCGAAGGAAAAGGCAATCTCACTGTAGAACCGATGTAACTCTCCCTCTGCTGTGAAGCTATGAAGCATGGCCTAATCATCCCTTATAAACTCTTCTCTGTCTCTCTGTTTATGCAAACAAGTTCTGGGTTTCAGAGTAAAATGGCAGCACACTTCACAAGACACCTGTCTTACTAACTTGGGCTTTTCTACCAGTCAAAAATGACCCTGCTGTTCCGATATCAGGACTGCCATCGCATCGCTTGCACACATTAATTGTTGCCTTGGAAAACTGGTATCTCGTCACACCCTTCGTAAGTGTCTTAAGAGAATTTCAACTGCCTGACCGTTACAGGCAATGGATAGTTACGGGTATCGACAAGGTGCCAGCTGCTGACAGACCTGCCCAAGAGCTGCCTCTGAAGCTAAATCCAAGGCAAGAGGTCCTTTCCCAGGCCACCCGGGGAAAACACCCAGGCGCAATATGTGCCTAAGGAACGCAGTTCTTGGGTCAGACAGACAGCTGTCAGTTTGTATATCCAGGTATTGATATGTTACAGGGACATACTTGCCCAGCTGTTGATCTGATCTGACTCATCCGTTGAGGTTTTGAGGGCGAGGAAAAATTCTGCAATTGCTAAAAATCCCGCTCTTAACTTATGTTAGGTTACTAAACATAGATTAGGAAAGCCTGGAATACACTGCTCAGACACCTTAAAAATAGACTTAAGCACAGAAAACAACATGGTTCCACAGCAGTTCGGTGATTTAAGGAAAAATGATACCACCCATTTTCCCTACCTCAAAGCTATAGATGAAAAAAAGGCATTATTCAAATGACTGAATTCCTAAGTAAATGACCTCAGAGCTCTATCTGGTGCTCAAACAGCCCAATTTTCCACCATCAACCTTATATCAAGTTCTGAGACAACACCCACCCAAGCAGTGACTGCTTTTTTTCCTTTTTATACACTGCCAAAGCTACTTTCACGTTTATTTCTTACAAGCCCATGCTACTCTTAAGTCCAAATGTGGAAACACAAAATTTTAAGTGACAAGCTGTATGTACCCAATCAAAATCAGAAAAAAGGGAAGGAAAAAAAAAAGGGCCTGAGGGGAGAGAAGGAAGAAACACATTCAGAGTACCACTTAAATAGTGGGCACAGGTTAAAAAAACCAGCTACTGGATTTTCCACCTACCTTTTCCATGTCATGACATTTATGCTTCAATCTCCAATCATAATCTGGATAAGAATTTCTCAGAGCCAATGCAAAATACAGTATCTGGAAATAACTAGCATGCCATTTTCTTTCCTTGTCTTTCTTGTCTTTTTAGAAAAGCATTTCTGGAATACGTCCACATTACCACTTTATCAGCTGAGAAGCAGCTTGCTTTTCCACACAGAAAATACCTTGGTAACATGCCGTGCAGCCATCTGATCAGACTTGGTTCTGGAGCCTAAGGAGTTCTTCAGTAAGATGAAACAGTTTCCCAAAAGCCCAAAAGTTACCCAGGTCCGTTTCCTCCCATACTCAGAAACTAATGTTTATCTGATTTATAATGAACAGTATACACTTTTGTTGAAAAAAAACCATGAGTCACTTTGTCACTTTGTGTGTGAAAGTGTTACCTGTGCAAGAAGTCAGGAGCTTTATTTAGCAGAGTGTAGTACTGTCTCACAAACTCCCGCCCTACGAGCAGGGGACTTGGCTTCTCCATCACCATTTCTTTGGTACACAGTATCAAATGCTGTAAATAAAAACATTCACGTTAGTTTGAAGACAGCCCTATATATCACAACTTCCCCATAAAAGGACGAGCATAATGTTATTAGAATTGAAACAATTACGTGAACAGGAGTTTAATTCACAGAGAAATATTCCACCAATTCCGGACGTGCTCCCCCACCTCCTTGATTTATAATAAACAGTATACACTTTTGTTGAAAAAAAAACATTAGTCACTTTGTGTGTGGAAGTGTTACCTGTGCAAGAAGTCAGGAGCTTTATTTAGCAGAGTGTAGTACTGTCTCACAAACTCCCGCCCTACGAGCAGGGGACTTGGCTTCTCCATCACCATTTCTTTGGTACACAGTATCAAATGCTGTAAATAAAAACATTCACGTTAGTTTGAAGACAGCCCTATATATCACAACTTCCCCATAAAAGGACGAGCATAATGTTATTAGAATTGAAACAATTACGTGAACAGGAGTTTAATTCACAGAGAAATATTCCACCAATTCCGGACGTGCTCCCCCACCTCCTTGGAGTAAATAACAAGATCTCAGTCAATTATGTGTTACTTTGTCAAAGAGAGAACAGCAGAAACAAAGTCCGTTACAGAAAGGGTGCTTTAAAAATCAACCAACCAACCAAAACCCCCCTTAAAAACATTTAGTACCATTCATTTAACCCTTTGGCAATAAGCTGATGAGCAATTAAAAATCCACATTCAATAGTACTGAAAAACAAAGAGGAGTGCATTTTCTTAAGTCAGCCAGTAGCATACGTTTATCTCAAAGCACATCTGCTTCAAAAAGCTACTGTCACATCTGCAACACGAAGATGGTAGCACCAATATTCTGAAGTAATCGCGCAGGCTGGATTCACATTCGCTGAACACTGGGAAGGCAAACCTTTATGCCTCAGAGATGACCAAAGCCTTAGGTACTACTTGTCCAAGCTAACTGCATTTCACATTTGTCACAGTACAACTTAGGTTGGAAAGGACTTGTGGGGTCACCTGGTTCAAGCCCCCATGCAAAGCATGCCCAGTTTCTAACATCTGCTCGTTAAAACAAGTTCCGAATAAGGTTATTGGCTGACAGGTAAACAGAACGACCATCTGCAGTTGTGCTTGTTGGCTGTCATTTTAACATGGCGCACCTTGGAGAAGTATGGATCCACACCCTCCCACTGGGTAGTTCAAGGTAGCAGTAGCATCATTCCCCCACTCCGGTCCTCTGTTCTTCGGGCTGAACAAGCCCGGCCCTCTCAAAGTCTCCTCTCTCCAGGTGCTCCAATCCTCTAAGAATCCCGGTGATCCTACACAAGACCCACTCCAGCATGTTGGTTTCTGCCCTGTACTGTGGAGTTAAACTTGGGAGCAACCCTCTGGGTTTGGCTGTCACAAGAGTCCACACGGAAACGAAGAATCGCTTCTGCTCGCTACCTCCAGCTTACGCAGCCCACAACGCAACCGCCCTTCTCCACTGCAAAGGGACGCCGCTGACTCAAGTTCAACTTTTTGGCCAGGACACCAAGGTCCATTTGTGCAAAGCTGCTTCGTATCCAGTTGCTTCCCAGCCTTTACTTTTGCATGCAGTTTTTCCAGGCACACGCAGAACTTGGAAATTTGAGTTTATTGAACGTAGTGATGATGTTCCCGTCAGTCCATTTCTCCAGCCTATCTCTCCAGAAACTTGCTGCGGATCACTTCAGCCCAACATCTAGGTCACGAGAAATGTATCCAACAGCTTTAAGCAGCATCTGCCCCAGTACCGCCCCCAGAGAAACTTCGCGAGCAGCCGGCTACTAGTTGGCCTTTCTATCCCTCACCGCAACCTTCTGATGCTGGCTGTCCAGACAGTCTCCCACCCGCCTCATAGGCTACCTGTCCAACTTGGCTCCCAGGATAGTGCAGAAAACAAGGCCTTACTGAAATCAAGATAAGCCACATCTATTGCACTCTTATCCTTCAACTGAGCCATTGCTGTCATCGCAGAAGGCAAGCTAGTTCGTCAGTTGTAACCTGCCCCCAGTAAATCCATGCTGGCTGTTCTAAACACCTTCTTGTCCTTCACGGATCTGAACACAACTCCCAGGAGGACTACTTGCTTTACAAGCCTTCCCAGGGATCATGGAGAAGCTGGCAACCTATAATCCCCCCCTAATTCCCCCTGCCTCGAGCGGTTCTTGGTTTTACTTGCTGTGCTCCTACCCATCCATAGCGCCTCACAGATCATCTGCGTCATAAAATGATCTTCAGCGCTCACGAGGTCTTTTTGATGGCTTGCCAGCACCCGGCACGTTGCTTTTTCCAGCTCACATCAGGAAGGCTGAACTCGGTCATGAATACCAGCATCTGCAAATATGAGATCCCCTCCTGTTCTCTCAAGAAAGCCTAAGGTACTTTTTGTCTCAAAAAACAAATGTGTAGGCAAGGCAGCAGGCAAAGTAGACCAAGTCAAAAAGCCAAGTTCCCAACCTGGGAGACGATCCTAGAATAAGGTTTTTGTTTTCGTAGCAAAATAACCTCGACCCGTTGTTGATCAAAGCCAAGGGCCAACACAAAGGATGGTTCGCAATTACAGATGAATCGGACATAAAGCACGCGCGGTGAAATCAAGAGATTAAACTCAGCTCAAGAAGGGCCTGTAATAAAGGTAAAAAACGTACACAGGAACGGTGCCACAAACGTGTCAGGTCCTGCAGCAAAAAGGAACTCTAAAGAAAAAAGCCCAAGTACTTAGCTCAAATAGTTTACCCTTAATGGACTGTCAAAATAACCTCAACCCAGCAATCCAAGCCGCAAGACAATACCAAGAACTCCTCCCAAATACAGTTAGTCAGGAGTTACAGTTGAAGCAACGGTCTGAAAAACTTGTAGGCAAGGCAGCAGGTAAAGCCCGAAACACAAATTTTGGACTTGGAAATAAGAAATCAGAAAATTTATTTTAGCATTAACCAAAATTTTTATTAGAATCTTCCAAGACTCTGACATACAGTATTAGTTGTGACTTATGGAAAGCCCCAGGGGAAGCCATTCTGAACATCAGACCCAAACCGAAATGTCAGGAACACTAACGGACATCAAAGGCTTGAGCACTGTTCACGTTCAACATGGGAACCTCCAAAGAAACAAAACACGAGCAATTCGGAGATCTTCCTAACATGACTCATACTACAGCAATGGCACACATGTGGGAATTTTGTTTAGAAAGCGACCTTAAAAGAACAAGGACCTCCGTTTCTCCAGGTGAGACTCTTCTTTTTTTCGTCCCCCCTGCCTCACAAGCGGACGATAAACACAGAATTGGTGATACGATCTTCACAAGCACTTGTGAGAATGCACAAGGATGAAGCTTTTAAAGAAACTATTAAAAAGCAAATCATAGCCAGCATACATTCTTATGAATATAGCAATAAGCAAAGTACATACGTTAATAAATTGCTGGCATACCACAAGGAACACCGAAAACGCCTCTGGATACAAACCATAATAATCTGCGACAAGTTATTACACTGCATCAGATCTGTATCACGCTAGATCTCTTCTACATTGGAAGCCATCCTAGTTCAGGAAAGGGCGCCGAAACCTTTCAGAAAATCTGAGAAAGGCAAGTATGCAATAATCAGACAGCCAATTCTTCCCTAACGATTTGAAACAGAAGTTGGCTTAATGCTCAGAGAGACAAATACCGTCCACCCCGGTGTGTATTTCAAGCGACAGCACTATTGATTTACATCACAGAATCACAGTATTTTACGGGATGTCTCAGTATAATTTTTCGTCTGTCTCACTATTACCTCCTTTCATTATCTCTTCAGAGCTCTCAATAGGGGTACCAGAGGCTTAATGAACTGTTCAGGTCTCCAAGTCATTAAAAGGCAGTAAAATAAAAATGCAGATACTTCTTGCTCTCACCACGAGTGCCATGAACCCAGGTTTTAAAAGGATTGACATCTCCATGTGTCCCAATTAGTATAGCACCTCCTTGAAGTCAAAAACCGAGTCTTAGCAGGCCCAAGGGGTTTGGAGGTAAAGGCAGCAGTGAAATTTAAGTCAAAACCCAAGGCATTGGCATCAACAATCTAAATAGTCCAAACGTAAAAAGTTTAATGCTATTTCCATGTTTTACCAGGCTCTAATGGAAGGCCCATAGATACACATACTCTATAAAAGCTATTTTTCCAGTTTTCATCGGTACATACTCAAGAGTCAAGGAATAATAGCTAAGAAAGACGGATCAGAGTGCTCTTCTCACTTGAATAAAATGAGCCTGATTCTTAGATCAGCCTGAGCAGCCACTGGGAACGTGTCTTAATAAGAAGTTATCGCTCGAGGCACTCGTGCAAGTACTAGCCAGAAACAAAACACCAAAACTGAGATGGCAAACACCAGAAATCAAATAAACTTACGTGCTAGCTGCTTTATGGTGCAACTGTATTGCTGAAGAATCCCCCTCCACCATGCATGCTGACAAATGCCACAAGCTACACCGACAGGGTAACACAAACGCCCATGCAACTGCTGCTTGTCTGCAGGTAACCGTGCCTACATTGAGCTGACGCGGCGATTAATCGACCAGATTTTATTTCCACCCTCTTCAGTACTTCCGATTCCCGTGCTACCAGGAAGGCGCGCTGGATTTGCAGCACGTTCTTGAACCAAGGAGAACCGGCAGCCACGCAACATACTTTGTAATAGACTGGCGATCTGAAGGACTAAACGAAACAGAATCTCTTTCTTCTCCAGACGAGGCTCACAGGTAAGGGACCCCGAGACCCCTACTTGAGGGACCGGACTCCAAAACTGAAGGAACGCGCACACGCACCAATGCGATACTTCTTGCAACTTCAGTCGGCGTGACTCAAGTTCGTAGCAACAACAGCTTAAGCCTACAGGCAGGACTGGATAAGCTCGTCACCATTACCTCAAACAACCAAGTTCCTATCTTGAGTTATTTCCACAGTCACTTCTTTCAAGAAAACAAAAACGATGGGAGAGTCAGCACAGAA